CGTATTGCTCTGGCCCTGGTGTGAGATCTATGTGCTCTGATGCAGGACCGAATTATATAGTGTATCCCACCTTCACTGGTTGCTTGCTGTGGAACACATGAGCTCTCCATGGAGACATCACCTGTCAAAGAACAAAAACACAAGAGCACAGAACTGAATAAATGAGTCTAGTGCCATCTGCTGGTCAACACAAGGAGCTTGTAACAAAAGGCTAGCTACTTCCTTTCAGTTATACCCTCAAATCTGTTTTCATTTTTTGTGGCTTTTAGTCTCATGGCTCAGCAACCTGCCTGGAAACGTTGTTTTTGGTCTGAATTTTATAGCAATATATTTTGGCAAAACCACAAACGACAATATTCTGGCCTTTTCAGTGCTTTCTCTTTCACATCACACCACACAGAGAAAGCACGCAGTCCTTCAGTGATAAATGACGTTTGACATAGGAACAATGCAGTGCTGACTGTGCAAGCAGAAGCTTGCTCTGATGCTCTGCACTGCATGAGACATGCACACTTCATCAGCACATCTCTACACCAGCAGCAAACGCTGCTTATACTGTGTGGAGAAAGATAAACACCACAGTCAACAGTAAAATAATACAGTATTACAAGTAACAACAGGAAACAGAAACCAGATGCTTTTTGGATCATCTCAAATCATGCTGGAGAACATGATCAAGTTTTACACCAACTTGTGGAGTTCATGCAGCTGCTTACATTAAAAGGGCTAGAAACATTTAATACAAACATTTTGAAATACATTTTTCCCCTCATATGTGTTACAACACAATTCTTATAAAAAATACAAGAATTAAACTTATTTTTTATTTATACATTTTTTATTTGTCACACTTTAAAAATGTTAATTTTATATATAACTTTTTGGCAAATTAAATACTAAGAGTAACGTGTGTGTGTGTGTGTGTATAAGAGAGTGTGTAAAAAAGAGTTCAGATGCAAAAGCCTCTAAGTGCCATTTGAAATTTTCTTCCTATGATTATGTTCAGTTATTTTACTTTAAAGGCAATGAAAAGAACCTATTCATTGCCATTAAAGTGAAACTACTGAACCTACACATAGGAGCCTAATAAAAATACACATTTTAGAAGAAAATTTCAAATGGCACTTAGAGGCTTTTGCATCTGAACTCTTCATATTCATATATATATATATATATATACTAATATATGTGTGTGTGTGATCAAATTTAATTAAATGAATTTAATTAAAATTCTGAAAAATAATTAACACAAATAAAAGGCTGACATACCAAAACTCTGCTCTCTGCTCGTCCCTTGTACTGGTTGAGCTGCACCAAACTCATGAACTGAACTCTCTGTGGCTTCAGATACTGAGTTATGCATTCTGGAAATCAAGCACATACAACCATTTATACAGAACTGCACATCACATAACTTTAAAAGTAATCTTAGCACCGTACTGTAATGTAGAGATTGTATAGTCTGAAAGAGCTACAAACAATTGTCTCATAGAATAAAAAAGCCTTACTGGTTATTATTTAGTCATATTTCAGTTGTGTGTTCTGAAAGTATTGTTTAAGCACCTTACCTTTGAGGCAAAATGGGACCTCTGTCTGCGCTGCCATAATGTCTGTGGCAACAGGGTGAAGACAGGCCAGCGCTGGCAGCTCTCATGTAAGTGTGACACTCTTGAACACACACACACACACACACATCCTGCTGCTTTATGATTCATGCTTATGGGGGAAAACCACAGTTTTTGAGAGTACAGGTCTGAGACAGGATGTGACACCTGAACTGCATGAAGAGCATCCTATCACAGTTACTTCATAACGTGCAGTTTCACACATCACAGCAATCATTTCAACCCCAATGCAAGTATGTCAATGTTTGCAAATGAGGTTAATATAAGCTTCAGTCTGTGGTACACGTGAGAATGATAACACTTATTGTCAAATCCCTGAGCCATTTAAACGAGAGGTTTTGGTGTCAGCTTTGCAGAGATGTATAGAAAGGCAAATGTATTTATAACCCTTACTTTTTAATGCATTGTCCAGGTGGCTGAGGAAAAAAAAAATGGCTAAATTGACTTTTTACTCAACATCTCCCTCTAGTGGAATTTTGTTCACTTTGAAACTTTGGCTACCCTTTCTGACTAAAACTGTACCTATCTAGTGTCACTATTTGACATATACTGGAAAATCGTGTTTATGTGCGTGTGTGCACTCTGCTGAAAAAAAAAAACATCTAAAACTAGCCTAAGCTGGTTTTAGCTGGTCAGCAGGCTGGTTTTGGCCACTTCATTAGCTGGTGAAGGCTGAGAGACTAGCTCAAACAACCATCAAAACTAAAATCAGGCCTGGGAGACCAGCCTGAACCAGCCAACTGTTTTATTTTTAAAAAGCACTACCCAGTTGTAAGACTTTTTTCTTTTCTTTAAAAATATTCTCTTCCTGCAGCATATATATTTATATCGGATATTGGAGTCAATCTTTTAAATAACTGGCTTTCTTTGTCAATTAGCACAATTTCTTCATTTGATTGATCTGGGCTTAAGCGCCTCAAAATTGCCACAAATGCTTTTTTTCGCTCAAAAACTGAGGCGCATAAACGGTCAAAACATAAGCGCATAAAAGGCCAACAACCAGTCAGTTTCAAAGTGAAATACAAAACCTGCGCTAACTGAAATCAAACAAGTAGACAAAAAAAATCCAAGATTTGGATAGCATGAGAAATTCTCACATTTTTAAAGGCTGCTCATTTTTGACCAGGAACAAATGAGATCTTTTTAGCACAGTAAAGGGTTAACATTTCAGCCGCTTGGCAGATCTAAATAATCTCTTATAGGTTCTTAACATTTTTAAACATCAAGAGGTGCTTATTAAAGCAAAAGAACCAGGAGTCAAATTGTAATTACTTAAATGCAAATACAAGATTCATTTTACTTCAACTTTGTAACTAGGTAAAGAATGAAACGGTCTGTGATTCAAGTAGCATACAATTGTATCAAATTCCAGAAAAAAAATGAAGAAAAACAGACATTAAATTAGGACAATATTTTTTTATTAGCTGTACAGCAATACATTCTCCACACCATCTTACATCATACGACCTCTATACCCCACCCAGCCATAATAAATGTCTTTATAAGGTTGGTTTTCTGACCATTGTAAAATTCACACAGTACAGCTAGGTTTAAAAAAAAAAAAAAAAAAATGCATT